TCGAATTCCTGCCCTGATGTATCCATGGGAACTTCGCCTCGGTTGATGAAGAGGAGAAGGGAAAGGGGAGATAGGGGGAGGAAAATGGGGGGGGGGGGGAGGTACAGGAGTTGAGCTCCATCAAAAAGTGAGTCTCTTACACTCAGGAAGAACTTAGATCTTTGAGGAGTTACTCAAGAGATTTAACTTATTTTCTTTGCTTCGATTTGCAGTTCCATATGCTCCATTCCAATTCAAGGGTTTCAACAACACAAGATTATTTTCTCTAAGGTGTCTGCAAGGTCAGAAAAGGAAATCTTTTAGATCTAACTCAGTATCTCCCAAAACTTGATGAATTTCTTTGCCTTTTTATTAGAATCCGAGAAAAAGAGCATTCCACCGAATTCTTTAGCAACCAACAGCTTTAAGTCAAAGGTTCCCAATGGAAACATTTGATTCTATTATCTCCCAGAAAGAAAGATGATAGATAGATAGACAGAGAGAGAGCGAGAGAGACCCTTTTACTAGAGATTAAAGGAAAATAAAATAGAAAATGATCCCAATGCAACTGAGTACATTATAGATTTCAGCAAACCATAAATCCATCCAAAAGTGCATTTCTCTGAATACCTATGGAGTGCACTGTAAAAGAGTTGCACTTCCTGATATAAATGGGGATTCTGCTAAATGTTGCAGTGCCTGTACATGAGTTATTACTGCAACCAGCATCATATCCAGAACACAGTAAAGCAACAACAACAAAAGCAAACCTCTGCTGTCCATTAAGGTGAAATAAATTAAGTTGCTCAAAACAAGAGAAATGATAATAAAAATGAAAATAAATGTGTTACTCCCAACCCTTCTTTAAAGTTAGAACAGATTTACATTTCCACTAAAGGCATAATTACCATACAATATCACTTAAGAGCCCTGTTCATGCCAGTTCCATGGTGAATTGCTTGTGTGCAATTGCTGTCATGTATGTACATGATGAGATCATGCATCCTCAAAGGAATTATGCTTGGAGTCCCACAAAGCTTAGAGTACTTTCCATGATCACCGCTAGATGTGTTATTTGTAAGAAGATGATTACTTGATATAGAATTTCCCTCTCTAAGGATATACTGATTTTTCTGAAGAAGTGGAGCTTAGAGGTGACCATGTTTACCTCCCAGTCTGATCTTGTTTAGGTGACCAGCATCACTCTGAGGTTCTGTGTTGCCTCTCTTCAACCGGAAGGGGCAAGTCTAATGGGCTGTGAGAATAACACTGAGAGACAGGGGGAAGAGCCCCAGCCTAGACAATGGTCTGGTAAAGGAAATCTGAGTCCAAAACAGGTAGGTAATTTGAGTAAATGTCTCAGAGTTGACTCTCCCTAGTCATCTGGAACATAAAAAGCAGGGAGGGGAGTGGCGCATTCAAACTTGCAAGATTCTGTTACTGTAACCTTATAGTAAAAGTATTCATAATTTTGATTTCCTGGTCTGGACAACCTCAAAAGGCGGACAGCAAGGGAGGGCTTCTGGTTCAGGACTTTGCTTTAACAGTATTAATCTGTCCAGGTGTTCATCTTGTTTAGGAATGATTCTTCCCTCTGCTCCATCTCTTCTCCATCTTGGTTGCCATTGGCAGCTGCTTGTTGTAGCACTGTTGCTCTGTCATCGATCCCAACAAATGCTGGGAAGAGGGACTCAGCCTTGTGAGGGTTAAGGAGTGTAATATTACAAGAGTTGGACTGTAAGGATTCAGGTCTCTTGTGGGGTCCTGTCATCAAGTCAGTCTCTCTCTCTCTCTCTCTCTCTGTCTTAAGGAGGGTCTTACACACAAATGCATCTATGAAAGGCATCTTGAAGGGTGCGCAAATTACATACAAGTACCTGTAATGGCCTTAAGTAATCCAGAGCACTGTTTAAACGCTTTTTGTTTTGTATGCCAGGAATGGATGGAGTCAGCCCCTCCTAATTTCCATAGCAACTAATGTATTTCAAATGGGAAAAGTGGAAGAAAATGGGAAAGGATCAAAGGCCAATTCAGTTAAGTAGCTTGAACAAAAGAGGTCCCTGTAAGTTGGGCTGTTATTGAGTTTTGCAACTCCTTCTCTTAGGCTTGAACATCACATTCTCAAGGTTAGAGAATGCAAGAAATTTCCTACTGGTAATTTCTTAAATATTACAAGCCAACCTGATCTACACCGTCACCTCTCATTTGTTACAATTCGTTTACCATAATTCATATAAGCTGTTGGTCTTAAATTCAATGGGTTCTTATGTAATTTATTTGCTATACTTCTAGACTGCTCAATAACCATGCTCCTCCGGGATCTGGGTTTTTCTTATTGTTGTTCAAGAGTAACCAATCTAACCCTCATTGGAACCATTTATTTTTTTCTGTCAAGAGAGTACATCTTATGAATGTCAGGTTTCAGTGGAGATGCCTGCTCCATCTCTGTTCTTTTGTGCCACCTTTGAAAATTCCACAAGAAGGCAACAGGAAAACAATAGTCCACCTACTTCTCTCTCTTCGCAAAGTAAAGGTCAGTAAGGTGTCCTCTCCTTTGCTCTTCAGATAAAGGTGTGACATGTAAGTGCACCAGGAAAACTAATTAATCCTCGGCATGATAAATGAAATCCTATCCCTATCATGCTGTACTGGAAGTTTTACAATGAATGGCACAGACATCAGACTCCAAATAAAATCTTGGACTTTCTTTCCTTGCACTGAAGATGAAAGTTAAACTGAAAATCTCAGTGGTGCTACAGACCTGCCAACTACGCAACTTAATCCTTCTTAAAATGATCTTTAGCTCTCCTCTCTAAAAAGGTGAAGTTTGGTCCCAGCTGTCAAAAAGTCATGCAATGGGAATTATTATGGCTATGATGAAAAAGCATGTAAAATGGGCAAATGTTAGGCAGAAATATGAAAACACTGTAGGACGAACCCTTACAACATTTCATTAGAACAGGCACATTAGAGTAGGAGGAAAAGAAGACAAAAATAAGCAATCTGAGAGACCATTTCTTACACAGAGGATCTTCAGAACTGTAATGTTTGTGAGATCTAGTTAGAGTTATCTAGTTATCCAGTACTGATTGCCATATTTCTGACTGCAGAAAGGGATATTCCCTATTAACATCAATTACCAGAACTACAAGCTCGTTGAGTATCACTAGACCACCCTACAGCTGAGCAAAACCATAGCTATTCTGGGGTTTGGTTCAGAGGCATGCAGGAACAGGAGAACAAATTATGTGATACACATGCACACACATAGTG